GCTATATGTGACATACAACCAGGTATTGGCCGCTATACAGTTGACCCCGACACTTGCCTAGTTTCTTTAGAAACACATTCATGTCATTGCAGCCGTCCAATTCTTCTTGATCGAAAGTGGTGACTTGCATGGACTAATGAACTCAGTTCCGACCGGAATCTCACAAGGGGGGCCTAGATTAATGTACTGAACGGGATCCATGATTGTTTACTTAGCAACTGGTCTATTTTAACCTGGGGAATCCCAATACTGCGCAATGGCGATCTTTATTTAACACGACGTCAGTGAGGACGGGAAGACAAACCCGCCTATCCCAGCCCCAGATATATATGACGCGGTCTGTAAAAATATCGAAAGGTGAATACATGAATTTTATATGTTTAGCGTGTTGAATACAACGTTGTCAAGTTATATGATGCGGCCTGCGATTGTGACAATCCAGTGATGACATAATGAGCATCAGAGAGGGAGACTGGATACGATCGCATCCATGAACTCTGCCCAAGACTAACGTTGAATGCAACGTTTCAATGGTGTCAGATAAGCATCGCGACAAATTATACCGCCCCAAACCAAGCCAGGATTTATCTTTCTTTCGTGTTGTATCAAAGTGCAAACACTCCAACTGAATGCACCTGGTGACGATAGGAATTCTATTCAAGTAACCGAGCGCGTATGCAAATATGTGGTTTTGAACGGTATGAATGCACGCTGTGATGTCACCGGTCGCCAATGTCATCACCCCGAACGACATGCTTGGTTCGTTCTAACTATCATTCAGACGTGAAATAAGAAACATATTTCTTTCAACTGTTCCCGTTGCTATGTATAGTATGACCAGAAATTATTGAGAAGTTTAGGAATATGTTTAATTGGATTTCTAGTATAAACAACCTTGACCATGCTAGCAGACGACATTTTCAGTGATCCTCAGTATGGATGATTTAGAGAAGGGGAAGTTGATTTTAGAGTATTATAACAAGGACATCAGATCAACTAAAGTGATTTCAAGTAGAACAGGCATCCCTTTATCCACTGTTTATCGTGTTTTGAAAAATATTGCAAATGGATATGGCATTGAGCACCAGGGAGGCGCAGGTAGGCCCAGAATATTGACTGCCGGTGACAGGATGCGGCTTGGTATTCTTGTTTCTAAAACCAAACGAAGGAGTTTAGAAAACTTAAGGCTGGATATCATTGATAGAGGAACTGTGGCTGTCTGTAAAGAGACAATTAGAACTGAGCTGCATGCAATGGGTTGGCAGAAAAGTCGAGGAATTCCATCACCAATCATGAAACCTGAACAAAAAGGAGCGAAGGTTGAACTGGTGCTTACAGCATAGACAATTTAACTGGGACAATGTGATTTTCTCAGATGAAAGTTCTGTGTTGCTGTTTCCTATTACACTGAAATTCTGGACCCAAAATACTGAAAAACCTTTGTATCAGCGCCCAAAGTACAGTCCGAAATTTAACGTGTGGGGTGGCATATCTGTGTTAAGGGCAACACCCCTCTGTGTATTTGAATGGAATATGAACAGTGAGCGGTACACAGATATTCTCGAGGGACATTTACTTCCGTCTGACCCAAAACATCGTTCAAAGCATTAACAGGCCTGGTTTCGGACCCAAAATATGACATTATTAGATTGGCCAGGCTATAGCCCTGACCTAAATCCAATAGAAAATGTTTGGGGATTTATGAAGGAAAGTGTCAATAAGAAAAATCTGACAAATATTGCTGAAATGAAAGAAGAGGTGGTCCGATATTGGGACATCCGATATTGGGACAGCATGGACCACGACTTTTTAACTTCTTTGATCAGTAGTATGCCCCGCCGCAATGAAGCCTGCATTGCTACCCATTGTGACTTGACAAAATACTAACTGTTCACCTGTCTTTGAATCTGGAGTTATGTTCTGCTAATATACACTTTCATACGCGAGTAATGAGTGACAGAAAATAAAAAAATACAATCTTGAATTCTCAGTAATTTCTGGTTGTACTGTAATTCTAAAAGGGACATTGTCGCGTTCTCGAGTTCTTGCCCTTTGGTAAATTTTGCCACTTTTTGCGAGGGCGACAACACGACAATGCGACTACGTGACAATGTCCCTTCTAGGATTCCATACGTTGCTGTTAAAATATATGCATTTTTATCGATTTTTTTTACCTTGAACACTCTTGGAAAATCAGGTCAGCGTGACCTCCCCCAACACATTGTTTTCTAAGCATAGATACGGAGGGCATAACCCGCTACCGTACATTTATCACGTTCATTAAACACGCGAGTTCATCATGCATTAAACACGTTACCCAGAGTTCATCACTACTCACTCACTCACTCACTCACTCACTCATCACGCACTAAGGGACCTTTCATAATTAATGGCTTTGGCCTGGTGTGTGTGTGTGTGTGTGTGTGTGTGTGTGTGTGTGTGTGTGTGTGTGTGTGTGTGTGTGTGTGTGTGTGTGTGTGTGTGTGTGTGTGTGTGTGTGTGTGTGTGTGTGTGTGTGTGTGTGATGTACTTTTAAGGGAGGTTAGGTTCACCCTTTTTGTTCTGGGTTGGTAGTGGTCATCAATTTTGAACACATTAGATTTGTAAGCTCAACATTCAGTTATTCATTCCTATATTGCCATGAACCCACATTTCATGTACGCGTTTATACTGACAGAACTATTTATGTGTGACACTCAAGGGAATGTCGGAAACATGGCTTGATGAATGGCTCGATCTAGCAGTGAGTCAGTGGATGTGTAAGAGACGTGACACAGAGGATAAATCGCTGTTGTGAGAACCAGGATGTGTGTTTCATGTTGGTATGTATCATCCCACACGTCTATAAATGTTGAGCAATGATCGGATCCGAGTGGGTGGGGACTTATTCTGTGGCGTGTCAATATTTATAGACACACAGTACTGCCCGTTGAATAACGTATCCAAATTTGCTGTCACCGTATCCTAGACTCCAGCTCACAGATCACAGGGATTATCAAGATTGAATTTATTTCTGAATAGGCCAGTATACAAGTTACAATTCATGTTGCAATAATGATAATAATGCACATGCAACAGGCACATCTCCAATGGTACTGGGTACTGAAAACTAAATGAACAGTATTGTCTGGTGACAGAATGTTAACAACAAATAAGGATATAAGGTTAGCAGCTTGGTTATTTTGCAAATACTATTTTACACTTACGTTTACGAACTATAGTCCTACAAATGTATTTGTGATCGGATGTTGGTACATATTGCAAGTCAACACAATGGCAGCGAATGGAATACTATTATAGGCGTAGTCTTATAGGTGTTTCTCACAGTTTTCTAGTTTTTCTTAGCATACATCAAGGGCTTGTACATATTTCTCATGTATGTACGTACTGCGTTCACACCTAAACTTGCTAGACCGCCTCCGTGGTGTAGTGGTTAGAGCGTCCGCCCGGAGAGCGGAAGATCGCGGGTTCGATCCCCGCCTGCGTCATACCAAAAGACTTTAAAATATGGTATTTGTTGGTCCCCTGCCTGGCGCTCGGCATTAATTGGTACAACAAGGACTGGTCGGCTTGGGGTCAGTATAATGTGTCTGAGTGGGGTATTCATGCATCACTGCGGCATGGTATCTCAGTGGGCTAGCACTATAAAACCAGCTTAAGTAGTAGTCTAGCAGCCGCACATACACATGCATGCACGTCGCGAAATATTCTCAAGCACGACGTTAAACCCAATTTCACCTCACCTAAACTTGCTTGAACTGAGACGCTAAATACACTTGTTACACAGAGTAACGACGCTATTATGGCACTGTACAGATATAAAAAGAAATATAACCTCTCAAAATTTATATCATATATTTAATGATAGTTATAAGATGGTATGGTGCAGACGTTTGGAACAATGTATTTTGTAAAATTATTAAAGATGCACGGCATAAAATATATCAAAGGTTGTTGTTTTTTTAAATGGATAAAAGAAAACAACAATGCTATGGTTTGGGGAGAGTGTGGTGGAGTGACTTCTGTATACGAGAATACCACAAATGCTGTCAAATATTATATCAAATACGGAATTTGGATGATCACAGATTGCCTGATCAACATTGTCATTTAATGCTCAAATCACTGGACCACACTTGTCGCATGGGCAACTCATATAAAAAATGTTTGAACTTGGATTTGGATATGAATGGTTAAACACACTGATGGCAATGTGAAGATATTTATTCATCTTTTTATATAAATGACTTTTTTGGGCAAACTTCATCCCTCATGGTTTAGTCTGACCCGCGAAGATTCGGGGTTAGAATTGATCTTCAGTAACCCATGCTTGTTGTAAAAGGCGACTAACGGGATCGGGTGGTCAGACTCGCTGAATTGGTTCACACATGCTGTTGATCACTGGGTTGTCTGTTCCAGACTCGATTATTTACAGACCACCGCCATATAGCTGGAATATTGCTGAGTGAGGCGTAAAACTTAACTCACTCACTCATGGTGTAGTTCTATATAACAGTATATATGATTAATTTTACTATAAGCATTTTAAATCCCTGTTGAATATAAAAAAACAATATTTTACACCCTCCATCACTCTACATCTGAGGCCATGCATGACTCGCTTCAGATGAAGTAGATGTAAACTTGCAGTTCATTGTGGGGGATACACTGAACGACAATGTAAATATTGTATGGAAAGTGGAAGATCATGCATTACTATTGGAGTTCATGCATTACTATTGGAGTTCATGCATTACTATTGGAGTTCATGCATTACTATTGGTGTTCATGCATTACTATTGGAGTTCATGCATTACTATTGGAGTTCATGCATTACTATTGGAGTTCATGCATTAATATTGGTGTTCATGCATTACTATTGGAGTTCATGCATTACTATTGGAGTTCATGTATTACTATTGGAGTTCATGCATTACTATTAGTGTTCATGCATTACTATTGGAGTTCATGCATTCTTTGTGTGTGAACGTTAGTCATCCCGAGGAAGTGTCTATCTTAAACAGTACATCAAGTCTCATCCCGAGGAAGTGTCTATCTTAAACAGAAAATCATGTCTCATCCCGAGGAAGTGTCTATCTTAAACAGTACATCAAGTCTCATCCCGAGGAAGTGTCTATCTTAAACAGTACATCAAGTTTCATCCCGAGGAAGTGTCTATCTTAAACAGTAGATCAAGTCTCATCCCGAGGAAGTGTCTATCTTAATCAGTACATCAAGTCTCATCCCGAGGAAGTGTCTATCTTAAACAGTACATCAAGTCTCATCCCGAGGAAGTGTCTATCTTAAACAGTACATCAAGTCTAAGTGATACTGTTCTGAATGGCATTATTTTCTAAAACTATAACTCAAGAGTCCTATTTCGTTTCCTTCCATCGAATCAATTTCCACTCTTGAGTTATAGTTTCAAATTCTTTCAGTTCCTAGTTTTACACGTAACCCTCAGGCCTTCGTGTCCCATTCGTGACCAACTCGTGTTATTCCGGGACAAGCCGAATAGCGGTTACGGAAAGGGTCGAGTGGTGACGAATGCTTCGTGTCCTTGCCAAGAGTAAAGATTTTTTCTTTTGGAGATGACCCCCGACACGAAAAGCTACACAGTACAATACATCATGACAAGGCCGGACACTTCGGTGTACCCTACCCGCCTGCTTTGCCGATCTCTACTCTACAATCGCATATAATCGATTAAAACATTAATAAACATAACCATGGATGATTGGCCTATCGATCACCACTCATGACACCTACCAATTCTTTATTGTTATTTCTGCAAGTCGATTGAAACCGATTTTGACACTCAACTAAACGATCTTGACACAAATGGATGACGATATGTCCGGACAAAACGGGGGTGTGGTCGAAGCAAGCCCTCTGATTGGTCAACGCTTGCACATCTGCACCTTCTTTATAAATTCTCGGGAACTTTTACTGTCATCGACTGCCTAATGTCAGAATATTTTTCGAGCAATGGCTCAGTTGTAAAGTATCAGTTGTAAAATTTCATTCAAGAGTGGTCTATGTCCATTAGTACTTCTAGATATTTGGAATAGTATGCCTCTCATAAGTCGTAGCTAGAACCAGAATCGTATATCTTAAATTTTCATGATAAATCTTTGATAAGAGCTTTATGTAAATTAAGAATTGGTTTTTATGATTTCTGTGTAAATAGGGCACGTAAACATTGTAATTCTTCAGAATGGAAAAATGATTTGATATGTTCTAATTGTACTACAGGCTCTATAGAGGATGAGTTCCATGTCATGTTTGTATGCACCAAGTATCTAAGTTTGCGAAAAAAGTATATGCCATTTCTTTCAAACACTGTATTAGACAAACATTCACTGTCAAATTTGTTAAATTCTAAGAATATTATGATTGTTAAGTCTGTAGCAATTTATCTCAAACATGTTTTCACTGTGCGTAGCCATAAATGTAACCATGAATGTAACCATAAGTTCACGTGACTTGCATAATATTTTGTAACATCAACAATTGTAATGTAGGCCTTAAGGCCAGAATTACTGAATAAACTTAATCCTAAATCTGAATCAGTTGTAAATGTCACCTTAACAAGCATCAACCAACCAGTGTACCCACTCTGAAACATTACCAGAAGATTGAGTAAGAATTAACTCTTCAGTAACCCGTGCTTGGCGAAAGATCAGTGTTTGGACACGTAACCTTGTCTTCAGTTACCTTATGACCGACGTTATTTCATCTACAAAACTGATGCTTCACACAGCATGTCTATATTTATGTATACATGACTAGCATATAAGAAAAACCTACCCGTGAAGATCCGGGGTAGAATAGGTCTTCAGCAACCCATGCTTGCCACAAAAGGCGACTATGCTTGTCGTAAGAGGCGACTAACGAGATCGGGTGGTCAGGCTGGCTGACTTGGTTCACACATGTCATCGGTTCCCAGGGAACATATCTGCCTAGCACTTGGGACTTATTAATTTAATTTACCATCACTGCTGGTCTATTTGTCCTTGTATTTATTACTATTAGGCCTGGCTTCCATTTGTTTTCTTACCACCCTGTTGTATTCCACTATTGTTACCTCATCAACTAAGCCTGGATTATCAATCCCTGGCTTCCTTTTGTCCATCCACCCAGTTAGTGCTAATGATTCCCCCCTGGCTTCTATTTGGCTTTCTTATCAATCATGCCTGGATTTACAATCCCTGGCTTCCACTTGTCCATCCACCCAGTTAGTGCTAATTATTCCCCCTGGCTTCTATTTGGCTTTCTTATCAATCATGTCTGGATTTACAATCCCTGGCTTCCTCTTGTCCATCCACCCAGTTAGTGCTAGGTTTTACGCCGCTTTTAGCAATATTGAAGCAAGATCACGGGGATACCAGGAATGGGCTTCTCGCAATGTACCCATGTGGGGAATCGAACCTGGATCTTCGGCGTGACGAGCGGACGCTTTAACCACTAGGCTACCTACCGCCCAAAAGAATGAGATTAACTTTCAATGAAACCGTGACATAAAATAGTGAGAATCGCTGTGAAAATCGGCAGAGAGGGCCAGTTCATGTAAAAATGCACGACCGTCACAGATAAAAAGTCACGCTGACATTTTAAACCAAGGACAGTCACAAAGATCTAATCACAACACAATACCTGTAGGGTTGAAACACATGACACGCTGACACGCAATGTGTGTCAGGGCGTAGCTACCATTATAATAAAAACGGGCATACACATGTGTAAAACATAAAATAAATATATGTATATAAATAAATAATAAATAAATAAATCATCGTCACCCCAACCCCATCCAGTAGATTCACTGAACCAGCACTGAGCTGTTCGTTTTCAGTTTGAAGTTGTTTCACTTACCTGCGACCACGCGCAGGCCGACAGTCATCAGCATTATCAACGTGACAGTCCTTGGGCCCATCCATCCCGGCATGGCCCGTCCTAGGGCGTGGTTCGTGCGCTCTCCAGGTCTCTCTAGGTGGAGGAGAGATCCGATCTACACGTCCATCACAAGGAAAGACATGGGCTATATGTGACATACAACCAGGTATTGGTACCGGGACCGCTATTCCTTCCAGAAACAGTTGACCCACTGACACTTTAGAAACAGGTGACCCATTTACTGCTAGTTTCTTTTCTTTAGAAACACATTCATGTCATTGCAGCCGTCCAATTCTTCTTGATCGAAAGTGGTGACTTGCATGGACTAATGAACTCAGTTCCGACCGGAATCTCACAAGGGGCCTAGATTAATGTACTGAACGGGATCCATGATTGTTTACTTAGCAACTGGTCTATTTTAACCTGGGGAATCCCAATACTGCGCAATGGCGATCTTTATTTAACACGACGTCAGTGAGGACGGGAAGACAAACCCGCCTATCCCAGCCCCAGATATATATGACGCGGTCTGTAAAAATATCGAAAGGTGAATACATGAATTTTATATGTTTAGCGTGTTGAATACAACGTTGTCAAGTTATATGATGCGGCCTGCGATTGTGACAATCCAGTGATGACATAATGAGCATCAGAGAGGGAGACTGGATACGATCGCATCCATGAACTCTGCCCAAGACTAACGTTGAATGCAACGTTTCAATGGTGTCAGATAAGCATCGCGACAAATTATACCGCCCCAAACCAAGCCAGGATTTATCTTTCTTTCGTGTTGTATCAAAGTGCAAACACTCCAACTGAATGCACCTGGTGACGATAGGAATTCTATTCAAGTAACCGAGCGCGAATGCAAATATGTGGTTTTGAACGGTATGAATGCACGCTGTGATGTCACCGGTCGCCAATGTCATCACCCCGAACGACATGCTTGGTTCGTTCTAACTATCATTCAGACGTGAAATAAGAAACATATTTCTTTCAACTGTTCCCGTTGCTATGTATAGTATGACCAGAAATTATTGAGAAGTTTAGGAATATGTTTAATTGGATTTCTAGTATAAACAACCTTGACCATGCTAGCAGACGACATTTTCAGTGATCCTCAGTATGGATGATTTAGAGAAGGGGAAGTTGATTTTAGAGTATTATAACAAGGACATCAGATCAACTAAAGTGATTTCAAGTAGAACAGGCATCCCTTTATCCACTGTTTATCGTGTTTTGAAAAATGTTGCAAATGGATATGGCATTGAGCACCAGGGAGGCGCAGGTAGGCCCAGAATATTGACTGCTGGTGACAGGAGGCGGCTTGGTATTCTTGTTTCTAAAACCAAACGAAGGAGTTTAGAAAACTTAAGGCTGGATATCATTGATAGAGGAACTGTGGCTGTCTGTAAAGAGACAATTAGAACTGAGCTGCATGCAATGGGTTGGCAGAAAAGTCGAGGAATTCCATCACCGATCATGAAACCTGAACAAAAAGGAGCGAAGGTTGAACTGGTGCTTACAGCATAGACAATTTAACTGGGACAATGTGATTTTCTCAGATGAAAGTTCTGTGTGGCTGTTTCCTAATACACTGAAATTCTGAACCAAAAATACTGAAAAACCTTTGTATCAGCGCCCAAAGTACAGTCCGAAATTTAACGTGTGGGGTGGCATATCTGTGTTAAGGGCAACACCCCTCTGTGTATTTGAATGGAATATGAACAGTGAGCGGTACACAGATATTCTCGAGGGACATTTACTTCCGTCTGACCCAAAACATCGTTCAAAGCATTAACAGGCCTGGTTTCGGACCCAAAATATGACATTATTAGATTGGCCAGGCTATAGCCCTGGCCTAAATCCAATAGAAAATGTTTGGGGATTTATGAAGGAAAGTGTCAATAAGAAAAATCTGACAAATATTGCTGAAATGAAAGAAGAGGTGGTCCGATATTGGGACATCCGATATTGGGACAGCATGGACCACGACTTTTTAACTTCTTTGATCAGTAGTATGCCCCGCCGCAATGAAGCCTGCATTGCTACCCATTGTGACTTGACAAAATACTAACTGTTCACCTGTCTTTGAATCTGGAGTTATGTTCTGCTAATATACACTTTCATACGCGAGTAATGAGTGACAGAAAATAAAAAAATACAATCTTGAATTCTCAGTAATTTCTGGTTGTACTGTAATTCTAAAAGGGACATTGTCGCGTTCTCGAGTTCTTGCCCTTTGGTAAATTTTGCCACTTTTTGCGAGGGCGACAACACGACAATGCGACTACGTGACAATGTCCCTTCTAGGATTCCATACGTTGCTGTTAAAATATATGCATTTTTATCGATTTTTTTACCTTGAACACTCTTGGAAAATCAGGTCAGCGTGACCTCCCCCAACACATTGTTTTCTAAGCATAGATACGGAGGGCATAACCCGCTACCGTACATTTATCACGTTCATTCAACACGCGAGTTCATCATGCATTAAACACGTTACCCAGAGTTCATCACTACTCACTCACTCACTCACTCACTCATCACGCACTAAGGGACCTTTCATAATTAATGGCTTTGGCCTGGTGTGTGTGTGTGTGTGTGTGTGTGTGTGTGTGTGTGTGTGTGTGTGTGTGTGTGTGTGTGTGTGTGTGTGTGTGTGTGTGTGTGTGTGTGTGTGTGTGTGTGTGTGTGTGTGTGTGTGTGTGTGTGAGGATGTACTTTTAAGGAGGTTAGGTTCACCCTTTTGTTCTGGGTTGGTAGTGGTCATCAATTTTGAACACATTAGATTTGTAAGCTCAACATTCAGTTATTCATTCCTATATTGCTATGAACCCACATTTCATGTACGCGTTTATACTGATAGAACTATTTATGTGTGACACCTCAAGGGAATGTCGGAAACATGGCTTGATGAATGGCTCGATCTAGCAGTGAGTCAGTGGATGTGTAAGAGACGTGACACAGAGGATAAATCGCTGTTGTTAGAACCAGGATGTGTGTTTCATGTTGGTATGTATCATCCCACACGTCTATAAATGTTGAGCGCGTAATGATCGGATCCGAGTGGGTGGGGACTTATTCTGTGGCGTGTCAATATTTATAGACACACAGTACTGCCCGTTGAATAACGTATCCAAATTTGCTGTCACCGTATCCTAGACTCCAGCTCACAGATCACAGGGATTATCAAGATTGAATTTATTTCTGAATAGGCCAGTATACAAGTTACAATTCATATTGCAATAATGATAATAATGCACATGCAATAGGCACATCTCCAATGGTACTGGGTACTGAGAACTAAATGAACAGTATTGTCTGGTGACAGAATGTTAACAACAAATAAGGATATAAGGTTAGCAGCTTGGATCCTTATGCAAATACTATTTTACACTTACGTTTACGAACTATAGTCCTACAAATGTATTTGTGATCGGATGTTGGTACATATTGCAAGTCAACACAATGGCAGCGAATGGAATAATATTATAGGCGTAGTCTTATAGGTGTTTCTCACAGTTTTCTAGTTTTTCTTAGCATACATCAAGGGCTTGTACATATTTCTCATGTATGTACGTACTGCGTTCACACCTAAACTTGCTAGACCGCCTCCGTGGTGTAGTGGTTAGAGCGTCCGCCCGGAGAGCGGAAGTTCGCGGGTTCGATCCCCGCCTGCGTCATACCAAAAGACTTTAAAATATGGTACTTGTTGGTCCCCTGCCTGGCGCTCGGCATTAATTGGTACAACAAGGACTGGTCGGCTTGGGGTCAGTATAATGTGTCTGAGTGGGGTATTCATGCATCACTGCGGCATGGTATCTCAGTGGGCTAGCACTATAAACCAGCTTAAGTAGTAGTACAAGCAGCCGCACATACACATGCATGCACGTTGTCATATGAGCGAAATATTCTCAAGCACGACGTTAAACCCAATTTCACCTCACCTAAACTTGCTTGAACTGAGACGCTAAATACACTTGTTAGACAGAGTAACGACGTTATGGCACTGTACAGATATAAAAAGAAATATAACCTCTCAAAATTTATATAATATATAATTAGTTATAAGATGGTATATAGACGTTGGTATGGTAAAATTATTAAAGATGCACGACGGTTTGGAACAATGCTATTTTGAATACCACACAAGAATGCTGCTCAAATATTATATCAAATACGGAATTTGGATGATCACAGATTGCCTGATCAACATTGTCATTTAATGCTCAAATCACTGGACCACACTTGTCGCATGGGCAACTCATATAAAAAATGTTTGAACTTGGATTTGGATATGAATGGTTAAACACACTGATGGCAATGTGAAGATATGTATTCATCTTTTTATATAAATGACTTTTTTGGGCAAACTTCATCCCTCATGGTTTAGTCTGACCCGCGAAGATTCGGGGTTAGAATTGATCTTCAGTAACCCATGCTTGTTGTAAAAGGCGACTAACGGGATCGGGTGGTCAGACTCGCTGAATTGGTTCACACATGCTGTTGATCACTGGGTTGTCTGTTCCAGACTCGATTATTTACAGACCACCGCCATATAGCTGGAATATTGCTGAGTGAGGCGTAAAACTTAACTCACTCACTCATGGTGTAGTTCTATATAACAGTATATATGATTAATTTTACTATAAGCATTTTAAATCTCTGTTGAATATAAAAACAATATTTTACACCTCCATCACTCTACATCTGAGGCCATGCATGACTCGCTTCAGATGAAGTAGATGTAAACTTGCAGTTCATTGTGGGGATACACTGAACGACAATGTAAATATTGTATGGAAAGTGGAAGATCATGCATTACTATTGGAGTTCATGCATTACTATTGAGTTCATGCATTACTATTGGAGTTCATGCATTACTATTGGTGTTCATGCATTACTATTGGTGTTCATGCATTACTATTGGAGTTCTTGCATTACTATTGGAGTTCATGCATTAATATTGGTGTTCATGCATTACTATTGGAGTTCATGCATTACTATTAGAGTTCATGTATTACTATTGGAGTTCATGCATTGCTATTAGTGTTCATAAACATTACTATTGGAGTTCATGCATTCTTTGTGTGTGAACGTTAGTCATCCTGAGGAAGTGTCTATCTTAAACAGTACATCAAGTCTCATCCTGAGGAAGTGTCTATCTTAAACAGAAAATCATGTCTCATCCTGAGGAAGTGTCTATCTTAAACAGTACATCAAGTCTCATCCTGAGGAAGTGTCTATCTTAAACAGTACATCAAGTTTCATCCATCCTGAGGAAGTGTCTATCTTAAACAGTAGATCAAGTCTCATCCCGAGGAAGTGTCTATCTTAATCAGTACATCAAGTCTCATCCTGAGGAAGTGTCTATCTTAAACAGTACATCAAGTCTCATCCTGAGGAAGAGTCTATCTTAAACAGTACATCAAGTCTAAGTGATACTGTTCTGAATGGCATTATTTTTCTAAAACTATAACTCAAGAGTCCTATTTCGTTTTTCCTTCCATCAAATCAATTTCCACTCTTTGAGTTATAGTTTCAAATTCTTTCAGTTCCTAGTTTTACACGTAACTCTCAGGCCTTCTGCGTGTCCCATTATCCTCCTCCGTGACCAACTCGTGTTATTCCGGGACAAGCCGAATAGCGGTTACGGAAAGGGTCGAGTGTGACGAATGCTTCGAGTCCTTGCCAAGAGTAAAGATTTTTTTTTGGGGGAGATGACCCCGACACGAAAAAGCTACACAGTACAATACATCATGACAAGGCCGGACACTCTGGTGTACCCTACCCGCCTGCTTTGCTGATCTCTACTCTACAATCGCATATAATCGATTAAAACATTAATAAAACATAACCATGTGGATGATTGGCCATTCATCGATCACCACTCATGACACCTACCA